GGGGTGTTTTTTTCTAACTTTCTTCTGTTTACCCGCAATTAATAAGACTAGTTTAAACTAAAACTCAATATTCCCAAATTAATTTAATCGATTAAATTATTAGTATAATATCTCTTGATTACAATTAATTCTGATGGAGTTAAAATTTAAAATTCAAAGAAACTTTTATCAAAAAACCTGTTCCAATAACTTAGAAAATAGTATTTAAATTCTCAACAATCTTGGTAAAACCGCATTAACTGTTCGAAGTAAAAAAAACAAAAAAAAATGCTTCAAATTGTGAGTAGATAAACAAGTTCTCAAACAATTGACCTATATGTATCCGAAATATAAAGATGAAAAAGCTCTGATTTTCATGTAATATTTTTCCTTACAATCATCAAAATTCTTACATTATTTTTTTTTTATTTTAAAAACTTCCGAAATATAAACAAACATGCACGAAATAGCTCAGTGGGAGAGCGTTAGACTGAAGATCTAAGGTCCCCGTTCAAATCCCGCGCTTTCGGCACTAGCAATATATCTTTTAATAAATTTCTTACTAATTTGAGATGAGCGTGACAACACTGTTAAATTTTCATGAATTATATTACCAAACTATTAAAAACATGTATACCAGATTACATAATCACATTTAGCTATCGTTATTGATATTGTAAAAACATTTGTGGGGAAATTCTTTATAATTATATTTACTTCTAACAATTGTTGGATGTTTTCATTTTATGTATAATTTTCAAATTTTTAAAATTTTAAATAAAGACATAATTTCGTGGTCTTTTTATGCGCCACTAGCTCAGCTTTGGAGACTTAGACGAAGATCTTAAAGGTCCCCTGTTCAATCCCGCGTTTCCGGCAAGTTTTTATCATTATATTTTTACTATCACTTCAGATTATGAAGAACATTTCGCGATTAAAAGTTTGCAATAGATTTATTAGCATGTAATAATATAATTTATAAATATACCATTAATACTCTTTTAAGCTTAATTCATACATTATTTGTAGTTTAGTTCTTTGTACTAGAATCGTATAATAAAATCATGTGGTTTTCCAAAAGCCATACTAATAAAGTATTCGCTTAACGGTAAACCTGCTGTAATTAAGCCGTTTGAATCGTTTAACGGTTTAATATAAGCCGAAATAGCTCAGTTGTCGAGAACGTCCAAATCTTTCAGATTATTGCCGAAATAGGAGACGAAGTAGACCTGCACTATAGTTGAAACAAGAAAACCGATAAATTTAATAACGCTCACAGCCTCTGAGCCCATTACTATTTGAAGACCGATGAAGCAAAGGACCAAACATGAGCTGACATAGTTGAGAAGTGTGGCCAAACCAAAAGTGTTATCGATTCGCTCCGCATAACTGAAAGAACATGCAAGAAAAACGATAACTAAACAACATATTGGAAGGTCTAGATATCAAATGGAGAAACTTTGTACTAAAATTTCTAAGTAAAATTAAATTCACCAGACTATGAATTCTTCGATTATTCATCCGTGCGATTTTGATACATTTTTGAGTATATTGAAAGAAAAAAGCCGGTTTGAAGCACTTTCTCAGATCGGATGACAATTGTGTAGTCAAAATGATAATATTCAAAGTTAGTAAAACGGTTAATATTTCAAGAATTGGGTGATTGAGCACATGTTGATGTAATAACTTTTTTGTATGACCGTTAACCTTATCTTCTCGAAGAAGAAATTGTACTTTGGCGATTCATTGTCCTTAACTTTATCTTCATTTTATTTCACATATAATGAATGAGGTAGCAAGGTTTTTGATAAATTGTTCTTAAGAAAACGTTGTGGGGAAAAAAGATCTATATTAAAGTTCTTTTCAGCCCAAAGCACCGCTAAGAAACTTTAGATTCGTCGATAAACATCAAATATTAACGAGAAAGAGTACCCAAACTGTTTTTTTTGACATTGAAACTTACTAATTTTTAATAACAAATAGTGGTTTTCTTTTCTCTGGTAGGATCAACCGAACAACAAGGAATTTACATACAACAACATCTCATCGTGATATTCCATTAAAGGTCCTAGCACTTTCATGTCAGCATCCGTACCGCTTGGTTGAAAACTCTCTATTTTATAGATTAAATATCCGAAATGCATGTTAACCAAGTGTACCATGGAGATGAGCAATAAATCGCCACTCAAAAATAGCAGTGACATATGGAATGCGCCACAGCATTGTAAGAAATATGAAACGGCATAAGCTAACGGTTGATTTACATCATAGAAATAAGTCATCATGAAGGGTAACGTGAAGTCAAAACCTTTATTCTTATCTACACGGCTTATATAACCATATATCGATGCCATCATTGGATGAAGAACAAACATTGATGTTATACTTAAATGCCATATTGATAAATATTTATTAGATGTATTAATTGTTCTAAAGTATGGCACCAATTGAAAAGCTACGCGCTCTTCCTCCCGCATATTTCTGGCTTATTTTTGACTAGTGATTGCTAAATAGGTAACGTGATATCTGCACATAATTAATTATACCCTGAACAGACTAATTTAAGTTACCACGAAGTTTGTAACACCCAGAATAAACGTCGGAGACCCTATAAAATAAAGTATGTCTCAAAATTAATGCCGTCGATTTGCCGTCACTTATATAGTAAGATTTGGAAAACTCTAAAAAAAGTAACCCAAAAAAAAAAAACCAAATAACCACTGACAGTTTAGCTTAGTAAAAATGGACCTATCACCGATAGAACTACGTGTCTTGAACAATATTTAAAAAAATGAATTGCTTGGCGGCCGCAGTTCGAAAAGCACATTTTCACCTTGATGGGCTTTTTAAACGACAAAATTGCCACTTTTGGGGTTCTAAGAACACATATGTGATTGTCGAAAATATATGCATTATCAAAGTGTCAATGTTTTGTGTATTTTAGGCTGTAGGCATAATTGGAATCTATACTTTTGAAAATGCTGCGGGTCAAGCAGTGACTGTTACTGGTGCTAGATATCACGATATGTGGATGATATTGATGTAACAACTGTGTTCACAGACACATGATACATGTGTTAAAAACCTCATTCATGGAATCAGGGCGTGTACTCTCTCCGTTTTGGGGTCATAATTGGCCCCCTAACATCGTGTGACTTTAACGACATTAGACTCTTTTTATGGGGTATTTACAATCACAGGCTATTGAAACAACCCACGCGTGCTTTAAAAAGAAGATTCAACGTTGATCAATGAAATTCAGCCACATTTATGCGAAATAATCATGAAAAACTCTCGACAAACGAATGCGTATGTTATGGTAAGCCATCTAGGCCATTTGCCCGATATGTTATGCCTTGATAACTCTGTTCTATATCTTTATGATTCAATAAAAAAAATTACAATCGCAAGACTAAAAACTGTGTTTTCTATTTAATTCCAATCTGGCGTTAATTTGGGGCACCTTCTTTCGATTCGCCATATCCGCCTATCGGTCTCTTTATATGCAACTCAATCTAATTTTGAGAATCGATCTGAATTTTAGCACCCGTCTTTTCTTACCAAGAAGCTACTCATTTGTCGGAATGACCGATATGGATACTATAGCATAATATACAACTGCCTTAAAAACTGAGTGATAGTATATGGTAAGCTTTTCATTTGACGATGTATTTTCACTAAATATGTATGGCTTATTGTCCAAGGCAAGGTCAATCTTCGAAGAAATTGTTCTGAACGATTAGCATATAGCGTGTAGCTGCCATACAAACTGACGGTTGAAAATGAAGTTCTTGTATGGAAAATTCTTTTGTAGGTATTATAGCTTCGTGTAACCGAAGTAAGCGTATTTTCTTCTTAATTTTAATATTTTTTCTTACATTTATCCTTAAGTAAGAAAGAATGCAACAGAAGTAGTATATACATATGTTGTGTTGTATTAAGGAATTATGTGATTACATAGTGCCTTAACATTTATATTAGTATTTATAATTACTCCTCAATTTTGCTGTATGTTAATAGGACAGTTTCTAATAAAAACCCGTTTATAATTATTCTTAAGCTTGAATATAGAAAAACACGTTAACTTCGGTTGCACGAAGCTATATACACTTCATATACAATTACAAAAATTTTACAAAAACTTGATTATCTATATTCGTATGACAGCTATATGTAAAGTTGATTCGATCATGAACAATGTTTTTTGCTGGAGATTGCATTATTGCGAGTAATAACTCATGCCAATTTCAAATGAAACATTTCAATACAAGCACTTGATGTCGATCATTCAGTTTCAAAGTTGATGACGAAACAAAGATTTTTTTTCAGTTCAGAAACGTATTCGGAGATTTCAAATTGCCTGGAGAGGATTGACTGTTGTGCACTTTTTACTTGTTTAAGACACTGTCTCCGGGCACGAGGTAAACCAACGACCACTCAAACTCTATCAGTTCTGCGCGTCACCAAACTGTTTCTATAAAAAGGATATATAAATACTTTGTGATGAGGAGTGTATTGAGAATTCGTTGTTATACAAATTCTCCTTAATTTAATTTATAATTTTACTAGCAGACATTCCCAAACTCTCGGTCTCAAATTTTCAGCCCAATATTCACCAAACATTTTAAACAAAATTTCTATTAATCTTCAACTTATTTCTATCGCAAAAGGACTCGACATTTATATAATATGTTTGACTCACATTCTCATCCACAAAAACTGGTATATACGAGAGTATCTGCCGCTCTATACCATGTCCTTGTTTACACTCAAGTGCTTACATTCAAAATATGCAACTTTTCTTTAATTTTCTCTATGTTATTACCGTAAATAGAGTATGAGCTGTTACGTTTATAACGCGGCAACATTTCAAGCATAAAAAAGAATTTGCATAATTTCCCACAAGCGTGAACCGAAAGAATGTCGCACTACATTTATTCGTCCGGTTTCGTTAATTGCAGGACTTTCGCATTTGTTTTTTTTTTGCTTTTGTATTATGGAAAATAATGCTAAAAGAGAACCAAGCAAACTAAAAACAAAATTTAATAATAATGGCCAACACAACAAACCGCAAAATGAAAAATGCTAACGCGTATGACCGAAGCGATTGAACGGCTACTATCAGCGTAATAAAGCGACCACTTTTTTGACATTTTAACAAAACCCCAAAACAAAGGGAAGAGAAACATGCTTTTTTTTAATATGGCAATGCCATAATTTGTGTTGCTTATTTTTTATATCTCACACTTGATATCATAATCTGCTGAATTTTGTTTTTGTGGTTGTTAGTGCTTGTTGTTTGTGTGCTTAGAATACGTTATCCGGTGTTTATGAGGCATTACGCGCACCGTTGTCCCTTTATTATCGCACCACTGCACTCACCCATACACACACACACACGCTCAGATCCAGAGAGTACCCCACAGTCGCTTTTGATGGATGGCAACATCGTTTTATGTCGCTAATATTAACATATTACAGCATGTGGCCAGCGATGTGGCAGAGATGGACAAATGGCGGTCGCTCGCTGACCCTTCGTGCTCTCGGCTATTTTAGCCGCTAATAAATATTAAAAAGTTTTTTAATTTAGGCACAAATTATGCAGGCATAATAGACGGTGTGTGGTTACGGCAATACCGTTATGCTCGTACAAAAGGGATTTGCGACACAGCTGAAGGGTTTACGTAAGCGTTATCATGTACACTCGGACAACGAACAATGGCCGAAGTATGGTAAAGTATGAAAAAGCGGAAATAATTACAAAGCCATAAAATGTGTGTGAAAAATATAGGGAATTCATAATGTTTGATATTAGGGGGTACTCGAAAAATCAATTTTTTTTTCAATCTAAACCATTCATTAGTGCAAGGTTCAAATCGAAAGTAACCATAAATGCATTCTATGGTGTTTGATGTCGTTTCTCGTCATATTTTATAGGTTATATCTCTTATGGATGTGTCATATCTCAACCTATGTAGAGCTGCATCATTGTGTTGCGATTAGAAGTCTGTAGTACTCCTTCCGTGGAACCTAGGTTCACAATGTTCAGCAAAATATAAAGAATCCAATACTTTTCAAGACTCAGTGGTAAACCTCAGATGTCAATTCCATAAAAAATTGCTCCTAATAAAAACAATTAGTTATTACAAATACAGCTTTACATCTACGATTCACTCTTTGTCAGATAACACAATTTGTTTACCATAAACCATGATACTAATAGAAAAAAGAAGTCAACTACAAATTATTATAAATATTTAAATTATATATTGAATGTTTGGGGCTTCAGTACAAAACTATTCTATGGTACTAAAATGCCAGCTACAATCTATACCACAAAAGCAACATTTTATTCGACAAACTCTTCTTTAGATATCGTCACCCACTCTTCGCATTTCTGCAGAGTGCGTCCGTATTACTCGTCTTAAGACATACAATGTACGTTCCAAAATAAACAGTAACAAAGTAAACTCTATTGCGCCATCTATATATCGACTAGTGCGTTAGAATCTGCGTATCCTTTATCGACTTCCCGTAAAAATTTCATGACATTTCATCTATTGGAAGTGAAGTTATTTGCGTTTTAAGTGTCAGTATGTTTTTGCATCGGTGCGAAATGAGCTTCGAACAAAGAGCCAACATTAAATTTTGTAAAAAACTTTACCGAAACGTTTCAATTGATGAAACAAGTTTATGGCGATGATTGCCTATCTCGTAGCAAGGTGCACAAGTGGTTTCAACGTTTTCAAAAGTGGTCGTAAGGACATAAATGAAACCCAAAAAATCGCGCCTGAGAAGTCACAAAGTGAAGACAAGCTGATTTGTTTTATGATTCCAAGGTATTGTCCACAAACAATTGTTCCACCGCCAAAACGTTAATGCGGTATTCTTGGAGCGCCATATTCGACGATGTTCTGCGCCCGAATATCGCGAAAATGGAAGTTGGCGTTTCTTGCACGATAATGCGCCGTATCGATCGACGCTTGGTGGCCGATTATTCGACAAAAATCACATTTTAAACAATCAACCACTCCCCGTATTCACCTGATATGGCGTGCGAGCTTCTAGCGTTCGAAAAATGCATTTGCCGATGAAAGCAAAAGCGTTATGCAGACGTGGAGGCCATTCAAAAGGCTTGCACCGGCATACTGGCGGCCATACCGGGGAACGAACTAAACACTCGTTCGAAATGCTTTTGACCGTGCAAAAAGCTGTATTAAAGCAGAAGGAGACTATTTTGAATAAAATTATTGATTTTGCCGATAAACCCTTTGTTCTGTCTTTTTTTAAAGTCCTGTTTACTTTGGACCGCACCTTGTATAGAAAGCTACATCGCATCCGGCAGAGTTAAGAAAGTTATCGGAAAATCTTGTGTCAGTTTATACATTCGCTATATATATTTATTCAAAAGCTTGGAAGACTTCGATTCAAGTTTGGTGGAGTGGTAAAATCACTTATACACTAACTGATTTAAACCCATAGCATTCACTTCTTATTATCAACTAGAATATATTAAAAATATCCATTATTAAAGCATACTCTAATCAAAGATTTTTCTACACTAAAACCTACATATTCCTTAAATATTAATAAGAAAAACGGTGACCAGAATCTTCTGTGGCAATAATATTAAAATAACTTTAACGACCGTTGACCAAAGTAATTTTCTGATATTAGAACTTTGCTTTGTTGACAACCCTAATTTATACAATGAAGTTATATGAACAGTAATTGGAAAAAATAAATAAGGGGTAACTCTACTGCACCCATACTAGATTTAATGTTGCAAGTCAAGCGCCGAAAGTCTATTAACTTTGCACAGAATTTAATAATTTTTCGTTTAACTCGAGTATTCATCTTGAACTGGATTTAAAGGAAGATACTTGAATAATAAAATATTTAGAAACCAAATATTAGCAGCAGTTATCTTACGAATAATACTTTGGAACGACTATTGTTGAAATGATAGAAAAAGCAGAGTGAAAGCTTCACAACTTTGATGCGTTAGTTGAATTTATCTATTTAAAGCCACTTCTTAGAAATACAAGAAGAATATGAATAGCTGTTTTAACATCAAGAATACAAAAGTATTTCATGTTTAATATTATTTCGACCATTATGCACCACGATGCCTAGGTCTGCAGTATATACAGTGGACGACAAAGAGTTAGTTAAATATTTTCATAGATATATGTGAGACAACCACGCAAAAGTTTCGCTTATTTTCGATACATTTAAGCACCCTCTTCCTCAATGCTCGTTGCAATAAGTGTAAAAAATTGTAAGATGTCGTACAGAGCTGTTAAAATATAGTATATAAATATAATATGAGCTTATTGTAATCTAACATAATATCTTACCGACTTAAAACTTACCATTGAGATCTCAAAGAATTAAAGCCGTCAAGTGGGCACAACGCTGAGCACGTGCTATGGCAACACCAGCATGCGCATATACTTGTAATTCGATCGTACCAGGGATGATTGTAGAACGCATCACTTATGCCAGTGCTCTTTGGTTCAATGAAATATGATATTTTAAATAAATTTCAAAGCAATAATTTTTTTTTCAAATTACCAAATCTTTCAGATTATTGCCGAAATAGGAGACAAAGTAGACCTGCGCTATAGTTGAAACAAGAAATCCGATAAATTTAATAACGCTCACAACATCGGAGCCCAAAACTATTTGAAGACCAATGAGGCATAGTACCAAACATGAGCCCC